TAAATCTGAGATCCTACTCAAAATATAACTAAAAGTAAAAAGAGCTGAGGGCACGGTACAAGTAGTAGAGTGCTTGCTTATCAAGCTCAAGGCCTGAGTTCAAACACTAGTACCACCAAGAAAAAAAAGAACGCCCCCCCAAAAAAACATAAATACTAGAGGCTGCATCTCCAATTGACCAAAAAGTCATGAAGGCATGATTTAAGTGGTAGAGTGCCAGCCATGAATAAGCAAGCCTAGTGAATATAAAAATCTTGAGTTCAAGTCCTGGTATCAACAAAAAAACAAGCATAGTTAGGTGCTAGTGGCTCATGCTGGTAATACTAGCTACTCAGGAGACTGAGATCTGAGGATTCAGGTTCAAAGCTAGCCTGAGCAGAAAAGCCTATGAGACTCTTATTTATAATTAACCAGCACAGAGAGAGAGAGAGAGGGGGGGGGAAGGAGGAAGAGAGAAGGAAAGAATGAAGGAAGGAAGGAATAGAGGGAGGAAGGAAGGAAGGAAGAAAGGAAGGAAGGAAGGAAGGAAGGAAGGAAGGAAGGAAAAAAATGGGAAATGGAGATGCAGTTCAGGTGGTAGAAAACTAGTCTTGAGCAAAAAGCTCAATGAGAGCACAGGGCTGTGGGCTTAAGCCTCAGTACCACCAATAAATAAATAAGCAAATAACCCAAACCCATCCACCCCTCCCCCCCAAAAAAAAACCCAAACAAACTAAAATCAGCTAGATACTGTGTCTATAACCTTGGCTACTGGGAAGGTTGAGATCAGGAGGACTGAGGTCTGAGGCCAGCCAAAGCACAAAGTTCTTGAGACTCAATCAATAAAGCACGGGGTGCAGTAGTATGTATCTATCTGTCTCCCCTCATAAATAGTACTGGGCAAGAGCAACACCCTATCTGAAAAATAATAAAAGCAAAAAATGTCTGGCATTATAGCTCAAGTGTTAGTATACCTACCTAGACGGTAGGAAGGCCATGTGTTCAAACCCCAGTGTCACAAAATCCCACTAATAGATGGGCACAGTAGATCAAACCTTTCATTCTAGCTAGCTGGAAGGCAGATTAGGTGATCACATGTTGAGCCCAGCCCAGGCATAAAAGTTTGTGAGACCCCATCTCAACCAATGGCTGGACACAGTGCTATATACCCTGTCATCTCAGTAACAAAGGGAAGTACAAATAGGAGGACTGAAGCTTAGGCTGGCTTAGGCATAAAGCGAGACCTTATCCATAAAATTAACCAATGCAGGGGCTGGGAAAGTGGCTCAGTGGTAGAGTGCTTGCCTTGCATGCATGAGGCCCTGGGTTCGATTCCTCAGCACCACATAAGCAAAAAAAAAAAAAAAGTCAGAAGTGGCGCTGTGGCTCAAGTGGTAGAGCGCTAGCCTTGAGCTGAAGAGCTGAGGGACAGCGCCCAGGCCCAGAGTTCAGGCCCCACGACCGGACCCAAAAAAAAAAAAAAATGAACCAAAATGAACCAATGTAGAAAGAGGCTGGTGGAGGGGCTCAAGTGGTAGTGTTGCCTACTTGGCAAGTGTGAGCAGGACCCTGAGCTCAAACCCTAATACTGCCAACTAACTAACTAAATAAATAAAAACATCGGGATTGGAGGTGTAGCTCTGTTGAAGAGTGCCTAACAAGTGAGAGGTCTTAATTTAAATCCCAGTATCATCAAAAATAAAATGTTACAGCCTAGTGCCAGGGGCTCACACCTGTAATTCTAGCTACTCAGGAGGCTAAGACCTGAGAAACAGAGTTCAAAACCAGTCCTAGCAGGAAAGTCTGTGAGACTCTTATCGCCAATAAACCACTAGAAAGCCGGAAGTGGTGCTGTGGTTCAAGCAGTAGAGTGCGCGCCTTGAGCTGAAGAGTGCAGGGACAGCGCCCAGGCCCAGAGTTCAAGCCCCATGACCGACAAAAAGAAAAAAAAAAAAAAGAAAGAAGGAAAGAGAGAAAAAAAAAGAAATGCTACTAATAATTTTTCAAAATTCAAGTGATTTGTTGCCTTTACTTTGTCCATTTAGGTTGGTTAATTCCTTTTTTTCCTGCTTAACTCTGCAGTCCCTGGGGCTTCCCCACACCCTGCAAGTCTTCTTTGCAGGGGATGCTCCCCTTGGGTTCCCATGCAAGTTATCGACTTCTAACACGGCATTTCATCACTAGAACTGTGAAATGGCTAGTATTCCTACTACACTGTGAGCTCCTTAAGGGCAAAAACTGTGTTCCATGTCCCTAATGTCAGCCACAGTGCCTAGCAGTCGGTAGGTACTCCAAAAAACCTTTTGGTTGTGAAACTGAATCTTCGTTAGTGTTTCTGTGACAATGTTTATAACCTTCCTTCTGTTTTGCTGTCTATCTTTCTCTTCTGAATAAAAGTCCTTTAAAGAGCTGGGCGCAGGCGGCTCACGCCTGTAATCCTAGCTACTCAGGAGGCTGAGATCTGAGGACTGCAGTTCAAAGCCAGCCTGAACAGAAGAGTCCTCAGACTCTTATTTCCAATAAGCTACTCAAAAAAGCTGGAAGTGGGGGTGGGAAGGTGGATCAGTGGTAGAGTGCTCACCTAGTATGCATGAAGCCCTAGGTTCAATTCCCCAGTACTCCACAAACAGAAAAAGCCAGAAGTGGCACTGTGGCTCAGTGGTAGAGTGCTAGCTTTGAGCAAAAGAGCTTCAGGGACAGTGCCCAGGCCCTGAGTTCAAGCCCCAGGACTGGTACACACCCACAAAAAAAGCTGGAAGTGGTGCTGTGGCTCAAGTGGTAGAGCGCTAGCCTTAAGCACAAAGATGCTCATGGAAAGCACCCAAGCCCTGAGTTCAAGCCCCAGGGACTGAAAAAAAAAAAAAAAAAAGGTCCTTTAAGACAGGTCTGTCTCATCTTTTTTTTTTTTTTTGGGTCCAGTCGTGGGGCCTGAACTCTGGGCCTGGGCGCTGTCCCTCAGCTCTTCAGCTCAAGGCTAGCGCTCTACCACTTGAGCTGCAGCGCCACTTCTGGCTTTTTTCTTTTTGCTTATGTGGTGCTGAGGAATCAAACCCAGGGCCTCAGGCATGCAAGGCAAGCGCTCTACCACTGAGCCACCTTCCCAGCCCCAGGTCTGTCTCATCTTGACTCTCCTGTGTCTGAAGCTGAAGCAGTGCTTTTCTTGTTGTCAGCACCCAGTGTTTTCATCTGTAAATTGAAGGTGATACTAGCCACGGAATGGCACATTCATAAGGTCAAGACATGAACCAGGCACCGGTGGCCAGGCTTGTAATCCTAGCTACTCAGGAGGCTGAGATCTAAGGATTACAGTTGGAAGTCAGCTGAGGCAGATTAGTCTAAAGAAAATCAGAAGTGGAGCTGTGGCTCCAGGGCTAGTGTGCTAGCCTTGAGCACCAAAAGCTCATTGAAAGCACCTAGGCAAAGAGTTCAAGCCCCAGGACAGGCGCGCACGCGCACTCTCTCTCTCTCTCTCTCTCTCTCTCACACACACACACGGTCAAGACATGACCTTGGTGAACTTTTAAGTGCAATTTTGGTTGGGGGTCTTTGGGAGGAATTTGGGGGGGAAGCAGCTATGCTATAAAGAGAATTGTAGGAAAAAAGGGAGAGAAAGAGAATTATAAATCAGACACTGGTAGCTTACGCCTGGTGTCTCCTACTCAGGAGGCTGGATCTGAGGATCGCAGTTTGAAGCCAGCCCAGCAGGAAAAGTCCATGAGACTCTTACCTCTAATGAACCACAAAAAAGCTGGAAGTGGAGTTGTGGCTCAAGTGGCAGAGCTCCAGCCAATGAGTTCCAATCATGTGTTAGGCACGTAACTGTGTCAGTCTGATGAAGTACCCTTTTGAGTCTGGGTTTTTGTCATCCCATTTGTCAAACAGACATTATAGTGTCCACTGGCTGGGCTCTTGAGAAGCTGCATGAGTGGCCTGGGGCCTGCTTCACTCTACGTGTGTGTGGCCAAATATAGTTTGATGCTGGATTCTGTGAAATGAATAAAAGTGATTTCCCCCAAACCTTTCGTCTGCACGCTTTACCTTGGCCTCAGAATCCAAGGACATGTGGGATCACTGTACGCCTCTCAGCTGGTCCTAAAGTGACCCCAGTGTCCTCAGCCCCAACAGCTTCCTCCTCCAACCCCTGCCTCCCATCAGTGGCAACTTCCTCCCAGTCACAGAGGCCTGAACCTAGAGTCATCCCTGGCTCGCCCCTTCTCTCTCCCACCCTTGACAGCAGTCACCATAGACTATCAATATTTCCCTGGAAATACCTCACTCCTCCTCCTGTCCCCCCCCCTCACATGGCTGCTGTCCCTGACACAGTCTGCCTTCCCTCAGGCCTGTTTTGGGGACAGTCTCCTCTAGCCTTTGCTCCCTTCAACATTCTTACTAAGTTACTTCTTGCTCAAGAGAACAGCCAATGGAACCAAGCACCTGGTGGCTCATGCCTGAAATCCTGAAGACTCAGGAGGCTGAGGTCTGAGGATCTCAGTTTGAAGTCAGTTAGGCAGGAAAGCCTGTGAGGCTCTTATCTCCAATGAACCACCAAAAAAAGCCAGAAGCAGAGCTGTGGCTCAAGTAGTAGAGTGCTTGCCTTAAACAAAAAAAAGGTAAGGGACAGTGCTCAGGCCTTGAGTTGAAGCCCTAGGGACAGGCACAAAACAAACAAAAAACCAACCTCATCCACCCTCCCCCTAAAACAACAACCAAACAACAAAAATAAAAACAGCCATGCTTGCCTTTCTGCTAATCCCTGCAGCCACTACTACTGATTTAGATCTCAGTGCTTCTGTGGATGGAGGACTGAATGTGACCATTTGCACCAAATGCTGAACACAATGTCTGGCCCATAGCAAGCTCCTAGTCAATCTTCACTATTATTACTGTTGCTAATGGTAGACAAAGAGCCCACAATCCTTGCCTTTGACTCCAAGTGGGGAGGATGAGGTTATAAGGAGAGAGTTAAGCACAGGAGGGCGAGAAGGGCCCCCCCCCCGTAGGGTGGGGTATGGGGTACTCACGGTGCTGTAGTTTCCAAAGAGGCCCAGGGTCGGGGCTGGCTCCAGTGGGAAGGGCAGGATCTGTTTGAGGTCCAGTGGGGGCTGCATGATGGGGGGCTGCCGTAGCAGAGGGAGGGGCCCTGCCCGGCTCAGGCTGCCTGGAAGGGAGAAAAAAACATTCTGGGACAGATGGAAGATGGACGTTTGGACGCACTGCCCCTATCTGGCAGTCCCATGTCCTTGCTGGGGCACCCTTCACCCAAAAGTGTGATCCCCCCGCTGGGAGGTGGGGGCTATATACATGTATGAGTGACACACATTTCCCCTGCTGGGTCAGGTCTGCTGGGGACCTGGGGGAGGGCACAACCCAACCCAGTGTTCCCTTGGGGTGGCTTTCATTTCCCCTTCTCCAGCACCCTTCCCCCAAGACCTTTAGGCCCTTACTTGATAGACTCAGGAAAAGCCTCTGCCTTCAGGCTCAGGGGGCACTCTGAGCCCCAAGGCCCGTCTGTCCACCCCCTTCTACTCTGCTCTTGCTTTCCCCCAGGGATCTAAAGATTTAGTGTCTGTCCCAGGAAAGACAGAACCAAGTGGACAATTCATCCCACTGCCCAGAGATGGACATTGAGGCCTAGATTTGGAAGGGGGCCTCCTAGCCCCTTCAGCTTCCCTCCAATTAAGGTTTGGATCCCATCATAATTCTTTCATTACGGGTGGCGTTGGTTCCAGGCTCCTCTCCAGACCTCTAGGGTCTTCTCCTGGCCCCTTCTGTCTCACCGGAATGCTGGCCTCCAGCTCTGCAGGAGGAGGAAGCTGCCCAGGCCTCTGGGAGAGGAACGCCTGGGTTTGACCCCAAGGGGAAATGAAAGTCCAGGCCTCCCCTGAAATGTCTCCTCCCACGAGAGTGGTGAGAGGGACCCCAACAGGTTCCAAAGGGGCAGCTTCGGGGCTTCAGGAAGCAAGCTTCCTTCTGCAACCCACTATCTACCAGCTGTGGAGTTCTGTCTGCCCTCTGCTCCTCCAGTAACAGAGGCTCCCAGGAACAAAAGCAAACCCAGGAGGCTACAGGCCTTGTTCTGTCCTCTCTTGACCTTCTAAGAGCAAGGGGTCCCCAGGATCCTTTCCTGTTCCCTCCATAGGGACTGCCCTTTGCATACCTTCAGTTTCTGGTGCCTGCTGCCCCCAGGCAGTGGCCTGGCCCCGGCCCCCCAGGGGCCTGGGCCTGACAGCCGTCCCCTTCCCTCAGTTCTGCCCTCTGCCCCCTCCTTTGCCATCCCCCTCCCCCAGCCCAGTCAGTAGGATCAGCCAATCAGAGACCTGGAAAAGTGGGGCAGAGGGGAGGGCGGGGGAGCAGGGATTAGGGGAATCTGAGGCGAGAGGGAGGGGGTGGGGAGGGCTCAGGCACAGCTGGGGGCAGGGAGCTGGTCCAGAAAGGTCTGGAGGGGGTCTGTCTCTTCCATCCCATGCCAGGACTAGACGGCCAGAAAGCTTGAGGCAGAGGGAGTCAGGCTGCTGGGAGCTTGGACTTCCAGATTCTAAGGACTACTTGAAAAGGGTTAGGATGCTCAGCTTTGGCCTTGAGCTGCTGGGGGTCTGTGTACCTTATGTTTTATTTCTTCCTCTGATACCTTCAGTGTTGGGGTGGGGTAGAGAGAGCAAACAGACCGACAGAAGTGAGCAGAAACAGATGGGAAAGAGAGATAGACACAGGAGTAAAGTGGCTGGGAGAAGGGTCAAAGACACGAGAGAGAAAAGACTAGAGGACAATAGAGAGAAGGAAAGGTGAACTGAGGTATAAAAACAGGGAAACATTGCTGAACACAGAGCTGGACCAGAGCATGGCGAGAAGGCAGAACACAGGGAGGGGGTGGGGGGAGCGAGACAGAGAGAGACAGAGATATGAACAGAGTGACATACCATTTAACCATCTCCCCTCCCTGGCCTGTGCTGCCCCCCCCCCAGCTTCTTCCCAGTGCACCACCCCTCCTTACTTGCCGGCACACTCGGCCAGGGCAGCCCTAACGAGCCTCAGGAATGGTGTGAGAAACCTGAGTGTGCCCAGTGTCCCCAGCTTCCTGCACCCACCCCCAGCAGCTGGTTTGGGGCTGGCACTTGCTCTGTGCAGAGCCCTGGGTACTGCAGCTTGGTTTTCCTTGACTAGTTCCGTGGCTCCCAATCTGAAACCTATCTTAGAGGAAATGAGATTTTTTTTGTTTTTATTTTTTTCCAGAAAAAGAAAAAAAAAGCATTAAAGAAATTAAAAAGCCACTATACTGAAGTGTCAGGTAATAAATTGGGAGTCTTATCATGTTTAATCTCTGTGGTGCTGAGTTTTTATAACGTAGTTGACATGATTTCTGTCATTTGGCATATAAAAGAAATTGGGACTCAGAGAAGTTAGAAAAACCCAGCTGATGTCACAGAGCCTATAAGTATCAGGGCTGAACTTCTTGTGTGTGTGTGTGTCCCAGTACTTGGACGTTAGGTATGTTCCTTGAGCTTTATCTGCTCAAAGCTGAAACTCTACCACTTGGGACCCAGTTTCACTTCCAGCTTTTTGGTGGTCAACTGGAGATTAAGAGTTTCTCAAATTCTTCTGCTTGGGCTAGCTTTGAACCTGGATCCTCCGATTGCAGCCTCCTAAGTAGCTAGGGCTAGGGCTGGGATTTCAATCAAGATCTTTGTAGCAAATGCTTCCTTCACTACATCCCTCCCAAAGGGCTCTGAGTTAACTCTAAAGCAGAGTTCTGAGCAAAGGCTTCCATCTTGTTTAAGGAACGGGAGATGAACGCTGTAGGGTGGAACCAGGTAGCAGCCATTTAGGTCCCTAAGGCTATCCAGGAGCTCAGCTTTCCACTGATAAGAGTCTTGGGGTACAGGAGAAAGGAAATGAGACAGAGGCTTGAGGTGAGAGGAAGCAGGGAAGGCACCCAGTAGTTCCTTATCTCCTTTCCAAATTCTTGTTAGCTCCACTCTGCAATCTGAAGTAGAAGAGGCAGATGGCAGCTTAAGGGTTGGTTGGACAAAAAAATGGGGCTCTTGAGGGCTAGGGGTGTAGCTCAATGGTAGAACGCTCGCTGAACATTTGTGAGGCCCTAGGTTTAGTCATTGGTACTGCAAATAAACCAAAGCACCAAACAAAAAACCCAACATGTCTTTGTTTCATATAACCAAGTCCTAGGCTCCCTTCTTCCCTTTTTTCTGAGAATAACAGTAGTTACCACTTTTTGAGGTTTTAGGCTACTCCAGAAACTTCATTTTTTTACTTATTATTTTTTATTTGTTTGTCAGGGGGGGGTATCTTATTCTGTAGCCCAGGCTGTCCTTGAACTCATGATCCTCTCTCAAAGTGCTGGGATTATAGACATGTGCCACTGTGCTCGGCTTTGCCAGGCACTTTATAATTTCCTGGTGGATTGCTGCATGGAGCACGAGCAGGGCGAGTAGCTGGTTTCACTGGCTCTCCTGGTCTCATTTCTCATCTGTCAAATGAGAACAGCAGTACCTGCCTCGCAGAGTTGATGTGAGGATTGAACGGATCCATGTAAAGTGCTGGCATATCACAATGAGAGCTCAATAAATGTTTGTTGAATAAATGAATTCTTATCTGATAGATGATGACAGTTGGCTCATAGAGCAAGAGTTATAGGATCAAGGTCAAACAGCTAGTGGAGGATTTGAACATGGCTGGTTCCAGAAACAGGTTTTTCTTTTTCTTTTCTTTTTTCTTTCCTGTGTGGCCAGCATGAGAGTTTGAACCCAGGGCCTCAGCTTGCTTGCTTGGATAGTACACTATCACTTGAGCCATGCTTCTAGCCTGGCTCTTTTTTTTTTCTGGTTAATTGGAGATGGGCTTTTCTCTTTAGGATAGCCTTGAACTATAATCCTCCAGATCTCAGCCTTCTGAGGAGCTAGGATTAAGGTGTGAGTCCGTGGGCACCTGTCTCAGAAGTGGGGCTTTTAAGTACTATACTTTTCTGCGTAGACTGGAGTGGGGTGGGGAGAGGAAAATAGGGTGGAGAAACAGGTAAGAAATCTAGAGCTTTCACCATCTGGTGTGGTGAGGCCTGAAGATAGGTTTGGAGGAAGAAGAGGAGAACAAATTGGAGTATGTGTGTGCAAGTGTGCTTGTATGTGCGTGTGTGGCACCCATGTTAGTCAGGGCAGGGAGGAGTTGAGGCCTGGCTGGGGCAGGCTCTTCCAGAGAAAGCCCAATTAGAGTAATTACCTTCAGCAGCTAGAACCCCACCCAGCTCCATGGGGAACTGCCACATGCTTTACTGAAGACAGTATCCAGTGCATTTTAGAGGGTGAGCTCACAGGCCCTTGGTTGGATGCCTCTGTGCCCATTCCCATCCCCTAAGCACTTTGATTCTTCCCAGGTTTCCCTGAGCCACACGGGGCTCTCTTCCTCCCACAGAAGGCCAGTCTTTCCCTTCCCTTCCCTGGAAGATCTGATCAGGTCCAGAGCAGCCCCTTGGCTCTTAGGTGGAACTAAGACTGTGTCAGTAAAAAATGGGAAAGAATGGGAGTGTGTGCTATGAGCTGGCCAGGGGAGTGTCAGCGTCTGGGTAGGTACAGGAACCAGACACGGTGCAGGGTAGGGCCGTGAGTTGGTGTTGGACTGAAGACTAAGACAGGGTGAGATTAAGATCAGAGACAGGAATTGGAGTTAAAGTTGCCAGTGCTTAGGGCCGAATGTGGTAAGAGGCACAGGACGATCAAGCCCCAGGTTAAAATAGTAAAACTCTGAGGCCAAGGGAGAAACAGATCTCCTCTTGAATCATCACTTTAAAAAAAAAAATCCTTCAAGCATGTTGTTTGCTCCCTCTCCAGATATGTCAAAAGGGGAAGAAAGCCTTGAACCCTTGGGCCTTAGCCTCCTGACCACGTCCAGTGTGTCTGTCCCCTCTTGCCTCAATTCCCCCATCTGGGCAGGAGGCAGACTGAGGGCTGGAAAAGCTTTGAAGTCAAAGGTGAAAGAGACAAGGGATGATTATGAACCACCGCTGAAAGCACCCTTCCCTAATAACCCCAGGGTAGATGTGGGTGGGGGCAGGGCCTAGAGGGAGAAGGTGGCTGGGAAGCCCGAAGCAAGCTTCCCAGATGTCTTGCCCACCTGACTGGACAGAGGTCCCCCCATCCCCCACTTCTCCCTGCATCAGGGACTCAGTTGGAAAAAAAAAAAAATGGTACGAAAGGCT